TAAAACGCCATAATTTTTTCATTTTTTTTAAATTTTATTGAATGAAAGCAAAAAATGTCGGAAATAACATCAAATTTGAGAATCGGTTTAGAATTGTTCGAATTGGCCACCTTTGGCACGAACTATGGCCTTCAAACGGCCAATGAAACCATCACACGCTGCCCGAAAGTGGCTCTGTGGTATTTTGTCCCATTCTCGGCGAAGCGCTTGCTTGAGATGATCGACACTTTGGTATTTTTTAGTGCCAACCTTGCTTTCCAAAATACCCCAGGCACAATAGTCCAACGGATTGGCATCCGGAGATTTTGGTGGCCATTGTGCGGTGGAAATGAAGCGAGGAACCTCATTTCTTAACCATTCTTGGGTGGCGCGTGCTGAGTGCGATAGTGCTGAGTCCTGTTGGAATGTTCAAGGTCTGCGGCCGAAATGTTTGCGTGCCCAGGGCTTCAGAACTCCCTCCAAAATATTTTCGCGATAGATTTGCGCATTGATTTTGACCCCACGGTCGATGAATACGAGCGGCGAGCGACCATCGGCTGTTATGGCGGCCCACACCATCACCATGGCCGGCTTTTGAGTTGTGGTGGCCAACAGAAGTTGCAAATTTTCAGCTGACCTCTCTGGCAAGTAAACACGATCATTTTGTTTGTTTACAAACTGCTGGATAACGAATGGTTTCTCATCGGAGAAAACCAAATTCGGCAGTTCACCACTTTCGGCCAAGCGAAGCAACTCTTTAGCTTTTTCGAGTCTAACTTTTTTTTGCGCATCAGTAAGAACTTGCACTTTTTGGAACTTCAATGGCTTTAGTCCAAGCTCATTTTTCAATATTTGCCGAATGGCATATTGCGATATGTACAGCTCACGAGCCATTTTTCGTCCACTGCGACGCGGATTTCGTTCGATTCGCTTCTTCACTTTTCGAACCATTTCTGCCGATGTTGCTGTTTTTTTTCGTCCACTTCCTTGACGTCGGGCTACGCTACCAGTACCATGGTAACGAGCGATGATACGAGACACAAAAGATTTATTCACTTTTAAATGCTGGAGGGCTCTAACGATAGCCACTTGTGGTTTTCCAGCCAAATGCAAAGCAATCACACTATCACGCTTGAATTCCATCACAAATAACTTTTTTTCTGAAAAATTCCCACCAAAATGCTTTTGTGCGCTTGTAAACAATATAATGAGCTGTCACTAGAATAAATCTGACAGCTGTGGGACGAGCGGTTTAGAAATGACAGCAGTCTGAAGTTGGTTGCAGTTTTTTCATCTCACCTTGTATTATATTTTGTATCGTGATTAAGATCATAAATATAATACTTCAAGGTTAACAAAAGACTATTTTAAGAAGTAGCTAGCGTTGCATATGCTAGCGCTAATGTACGATAACAACAACGGCAACTAAATAAAGCAATCGGGGTTGATGGAATACCAAACCTGGCACTAAAAATTACCATAGAAATCAATGTCGAAAGTGTTCGACACATGCATAAAGAAAACAGAATTGCCCTAGATATGTTAGATATAATACAAAGGTTGGTGCTTATATTGGAAAACAATTACGTTCAAGATGCATCGGGCTACCACCCGTTAATGTATGATTGATACGACCGGTAAACTACTGAATGAAATAATCAGCCAATGACTCGTCTTGAACAATAATGGTTTGTCAGACCGACAATTGGGTTTTCGTGAGGCACACTCTATAATAGAAGTCGTAGAAGCCGTCATAACGATAGCAAAAGATGCCATTGAAGCAGACCGCTGGCTGGAAGGAGATAAGGAATACTGTGTCATCATTATATCTGACGTCAATAATAAATTTACCTCGACAGTGTTCCAGGCTATAGTACCAGCACTCGACAGAAAAAACGCCCTGAAGTATTTAATAGAAATTATTGTCGACTTTTTTAAAGACATAGTGCTTTTATACTACACAAACAAAGGCAAGTAGTAATATATACCAAGTAGCAATAGGAATCAGTATTGGGTTTAATATTATGGAACGTTATGTATGACGGATTGCTGAAGCTTGAGCTCCTAGAAAAAGCAGAAATCATTAGTTTCGCCGATTACCTTGTTGCTGTAAAATATGTGATAACAGCTTTTGCACTATCGCGTATAATAACCAATATAGGCATTATACAGAATAATCAGAATAATACAGAAGAAGCAGTTGTTGACAAATATAGTTAAGTCTATTGTTATGTTTGCGGCTCCCATATGGGCAGATGTAATGAATAAACAGACATACAGGTTTGGAATAGACGCAGCCTACAAGAGGTGTGCGGTCAGAGTTGTTTCCGCTTTCCGCACAGTGTGTACTAATGCGACAGTGGTTGCATAAATTGAAAATGAAAAACATGCAGCTAAAAGAACTGGGCTCACGAACTACAGCGACCTCAAAGAAGAAGCATTGATTAAGTGAAAACAGAGTTGGGATACTTCCACGAAAGGAAGAGGGACACATGAGATCAAAGCGAGGACTAAAAGAAAGCCATTGTTCAGTAATGGGCCAAAATACCGGAAGATCACATTTGTAAGCCATAGTCAAGACTAAATATGTAAGCTATGTAAAGTAAAAATATTTACGCAAAAAATTTGCTATACTATATGATATATGAGGTGGGAATTCTAAATAAAAAAACAATGATGTGTTTTACCAATAGAAGCGCAGTCTAACGTGACGTGACAAATGACTTTGTTAATGATTTTGTTATTCAAGGCCGGATTATGCGATCTTCTCTTCAATCATGTTTGTATCTATCTAATACCTGATATGACACAAAAAATGGTTATTTCAGCATATAAAACTTACATTGTTATACTAAATTATGTAATTTTAGCTGTCAAACAAAAATTCTAAACTGAAATCAAAAAGCAAAAGTATCGATTCACACGATTAATTATTGTAATTTGTTTGTCAGATTTATTGTTTGTCCACACTTTTTATCTACTTTTATAAAATATTTACTTTGTATGAAAATTGCATTTATTCCTTAAAACTATACATAATAGCATAAGGTTATACTGCACAATACTGTACTACGGTGAACTGTCTATGTTAAAATCAATTTGATTTTGAAGAAATTATGATTCTGTTTTATTTTCAGTTGTCAGAATGTTCATACAAATCTTTTTAATTTAAACTTGCTTTGCTTTCAAAATCAAGAATAATTTGAAATGACAACTATAATTACAATCAAAAGACTAGTGTGAATCCAGTATTAGAATTAACGCTAATTAAATACTCATATTTGTTATTTGTGTGATGAGTTAAAAACAAATTAAATTTTCTTCTTATAGGAAATTGCGTAATGTATTTTTAATTCACTTTACAAATTTTTTTTTTTATGGCAAAATTCTTCTTTCTGCGGCACTTAGCCAATATTACGAAATAACTCAAGATTTTCGGAATAATTTCAACTCCCTATTATGCACAAAAATTTAAACAATTCTTACGGTATTCATAAACTATTGTTAAAAACCAAAAAAAAAGTATGCAATTGAATTAGATACAATACAATATGCCCTTACAAGCATTTAAGAGTAAAATAAAAATTATTTCTGAACATTTGTCATATTTTATATTAGAAACATATTTTTAAATAAACCAAAGTGCTTTAATTGCATAAATGTTTTTTTTTTCGTTTTAGACTGCAACAAATATTCGATCGTTATATAATATATTTTGTAAATATAAAGCTGTACTCGTGGATCCTGCAGAGTTCGCCTGCCTAAAAGCTATTGTTCTTTTTCGTCCAGAAACAAGAGGTTTGAAGGACCCTAACCAAATAGAAAATTTACAGGATCAAGCCCATGTAAAAATTTATTTCATATTTGAAAACATTCAATTTATACTTTCTTTATAGGTTATGCTATCCCAACACACAAAAGCAAACTTTTCTGCGCAAATAGCGCGGTTCGGTCGATTGTTACTTATGCTTCCTCTGTTAAGAATGTTAAGTTCTCAGAAAATTGAACGTTTATTTTTTCAGCGAACTATTGGGAATACACCTATGGAGAAAGTTTTATGCGATATGTATAAAAATTGAGTAGTATTACATAATTGTGTCAATATAATTTTATCCATACTTTGATTAAAAAAACAACCAATAAAAAAAAAATAAACTTAATTTCGAATTTACTATAAATTAACTTAAAACATATGTAGAATAAGATACAAATATTTTTAGAACACCATCAACTCATAATAATTCGTAGATATTTATAGATACCATATTTAATTCATTTTAATTTCTCTTTAGACATTAACCATGATTTGTTTTTGCTGCCTCTGCATATGTTTTAGCACGGACGCATATAGGTCTGTACGTGTGCGACAAAAATAAAACACAGCTATTAACAAAAAATATATGTATATGTACATATAAGATAGTTCGAAATACATATTGTGAAATATTTTTGATTATATAAAAAGCTGGTCAAAATATAGAAGTTATTAAATCCAAAAATGTACATGGGTAAATACAACTCTCAAAATACTTGTGCACTCTCGAATCACTGTGCTAGAGAAAATAAAACTTTACAATTGATCACCGGAAAAAACTGTACAACGCGTGAACCAACTATATTTCACGACGTTACTCTTTTTGGGTTTTTAATACCTCTTATGGTAGGTTTGTAAAGTTAAAAACACCATCAAAAGTGCATATTAATCAAAATATGTACTGTAATTGCGTTAAAAAATCTGAAGGTGAATTGGTCAATTACCACATCTATTATTAAAATATATGATACAATTCGTCACAAAATATAGTGCTTTAAGTTAATGCTAGTTGATTAGTTCACTGTAATTAGTCAGTTCAGTCGTTCTAACTTAAAGACTGAATTAGATGACATAATCTTAGCGAAGATTGAAACCCTTAATGACACAACGCAGAAAACAGTATTAATTATGATGGAGTACACACAACGTATTACAACATAAATACAAAAAGAGCACAAGAACAATCCGATCATCAAAAACCTCGCACTAAAACAAATGCAAAGTAATACGACATTTACACTGGCCGAAAATGGCTCATTTTGGTCAAATAACGAAAATGAGAAGCGAATAAAAAATTTCAAGCGCGAATGCGATCCATTTCATCACATTCTGTATGAATGCGTCCCAACGACGTTCGAAGGTATTGCATGTTTCAATACCTTCGAATGTTTCAAATACAAAGGAATACATTGAACATACCCTAAATAAAAGCTCTTCGTGGCATTTTGACAGTTTGAGAAAACTGTTTTTGAGATATTTACAAAAAAAGGTAAACAGATGTTTGGTGGTTACATTTTCTTGAAAACGATGCACCTCTTTTTAGAACTTCTACTTCCCAAAAAGTAATTAATCGAAGTTAAAAATATGTTTTAAGTTTATATTTTAAGGTTTGAAGGCATATTTAACTTTCATGCAAGATCAACAGGCAAGTTGAAAAATCAGCTGTTTGAAATGAAAACAAACGAATTATAACGAATGTAAACACTTTCAAATGGCTTATTCAAAATGAGCTACTTTCGGCCAGTGGAAACGCCATATAAGTCCTCAATTTTCGTTTTAGCTGATAAAAATTTCGCTGCAAATTTTTTATGTGTACTTAGGAGCAAATAATCGAATGCAATGTTTTTGTAGAGTAGAACGGATCAGTTATTGCTTACGGTTCAATTAGTTCAGTCTTAAATAATTGTTGTAAAATAAAGTACTGAATTTATAACGCATAAGAAAATTAATGTGTATAGTCAGAGTATTATTAAAGTACACAGTTGTTTTAATAACACGTATTTACATATAGTGACGAACATATTTTTGGCACAGCTAGCAAATTGAACTATAGCATTGTTTTTACCGATTTTTAATTACAAATTTTTTAGCTAAAATACTTAATCTGCAATTAAATTCATTTTAGTTCATTATATTATCACTTAAATTAAATTTTTAAAATTAATAAACCAAAAAAATATTAAATTAGGCTGAACAAAACTATTAGCACATCTGAAAAAATTAAAAAATAATTAAAAAAAATATTTACGTTGACAATTAATATTTAGTGGGAAAGCTCTTCTGTTTATGGTTTTGGGTCCAATATTTTGCCACTCTTCAGCAGTGTCACCCTTATTTCTGCCTTTGTGCTTATAATAAACTTTTTTGAACGTCCATCCAATTCTTCTCCCAAATGTTCAAAGGGGTTGAGATCTGGAGATTGGGGCGGATGTGTTTTGCATGATATGTAAGTCACATACGCACAAAATAAGCCGTACCTTACGACCAAAAAAGAACCAGAGGCCTATTTTTGAATTCCCGCGCTTATCCAATCGGTAAATTTTTTATTTTCACGCTGGCAACACTATTATACACATTTTGTCAAAGTTTAGCGCACATCGTACGATTAGTTTTTGTTTTGCGTCTATACAAAAAGTCGAAAAATTTTCGTGTGCCGATTTTTACCTTATGACCTCTATGGTATCAAAACACGTTCCTCGCCATGGCAATTTGAATCGGGGGAAGAGGAAAAAGTCACACGGGGCCATATCTGGAAAGTACGGTGCTTGGTTAATGATAAGAATTCAAAAATTAAAAATTGAAGTTCTTTTTTGATCACAAGGTATGTTTCAGATCATTGTCATATTGAATGCTAAACGTGGCTGGTAAACTTAAGATATCGGCCCTTTCTTTGACATTTCTCTTAATGATGACTATATATTTTTTGTTCATCAAAAAATGAACAATGAATTCCAATTCGCCGACACCTGTAGCGGACATACACCTTCATATCATCACAATGTTTCACAGACATAGCAGGATTATTTTTTTTGCAATTCGGTGTTTAATTTTCTTCAAACCTTTTGGAGCCATTAGATCGAAAGATCCTCAATTTTGTTCATCCTAGAAGGGTGCATTGCTCCAAAAGCCGATTGGCTTTCTTAAGTACTCCTTTGCTGATGGTGGACCTGCAAAATAAACGCTTTTCGTCTAGTAACACGCCAACTATAATTAGGATCATAAGGTATCATTTTGGCCGTTATGCTATAAATTTCTTTGCCGAACTTTCGCTTAACTTTAGCTGCGATATGGGTTAAAGATAATTTTGGGTTGGCCTTCACCTTTCCTATTAATTTGTAGTTTTACAATCGC